TTGCATCAGACAGGCCTGGAGAGTGATGCGATGGGTTTATTAAACTAGTATACACAGTTAAAACACCGGGAGAAGCAAAGATGGATGGAGGATCTTAGCTGGCTGCGGTTCTCGAGCGTGAAGCTCTACCACTTGTTCGACGGGCTGGTGCGTCCTTGTCCGCCGTCTGTTTCGATGCCTTTGCAGCTGGCTTCTTCTTCTCCTTCTCTGCCACTTTCTTCTCTGTATCTTTCTTATCCTTCTTCTCTGGTGCTTTTTTATCCTTCTTCTCCTTCGTTTCCTTCTTCTCTTTCGTGTCCTTGTCCTTCTTCTCTGCCACCTTCTTCTCCTTCTCTGTATCTTTCTTCTTCTTCTCTACCACTTTCTTCTCCTTCTTCTCTACCACCTTCTCTACTTTCTTTTCTTCTTTGGCTCCCTTCTTCTCTTTGGTTCCCATCGTCTCCTTCTCGCCCTTCGCCTTCTTAGCCTTCTTCTTTCCTTCAGACGGCTCATCCTCAACTTCTTCCTCTTCCTTTGGTTCAGCCTTCTCCGCTTTAAACTTCTTAGAAGTCACTTTGGAACTGGATTTGGCCTTTTTAGCAGCTGGCTTTTCATCTTCGGCATCATCTTCAGCCTTCCTTTTGGCTTGTTGCCGTTTGGATGCCTTTTTGGTCTTGTCATCCTTCTTTTCCTCCTCATCATCGACATCATCCTTCTGCTCAAGAGTAAGCATATAGATCCGTAGAAGCAGGGATATAGTCAAGTCTACCTTCTTAGATGCTCTCACTCGAAACCCGGTTTTTCCAGGTCGGTTCATCTCAACATCCTGATAACCTGTTAATAAAAGTGGTTTTCATACTGGACGGGCAAACTTACTCCTCTCCAGTCCTCATCATCAACATGGCCTTGCTCCACGGCATCTGCGACCTTCTTCTGGCTCTCGGCTGGGATCTCGTCGTAGCCATCCAGAAGCGTCATGTCACGGTCACCATTCTCATCCACGATTTCCTGGATACTTGCAATTTGCCTTGGAGTCACACATCCCCTAGGCGTTACTGATTAGATATATATATAAACGGGAGAAGGTAGCGATCATACCAATGTTTCCACGCCCAACTTTGGAACTGCTCAGTATCAACGAATGTGCCCAGTCTCAGCTCCCCCTTAAGAATCTTCTCCTTTTTCTCCTGGCACTCTTTATTCTTGCAACCAGCTCTGCCGGTGCTGGCAAGCTCTGGTAGATTGATATAAATATTAGCAGCGCTTCCAGCTTCGCGTCAAGAGCGCGTTCCTCGTAAAATAATGCCTGCTCAGCCAACATGTACAAAACGACAGTATCTACTTACCAATACGATAGGTTGGCATCTTGGTCAACCGCTATAGAACGAGAAACTAGATAGTAGACAGCGACAAGGCGAAGAGTGAAAGCGCGTAAGCTGGTTGAAAAGGCGTGAGGTTGCTTTGTGGTTGGAAACCAACAAGTTAACAAATAATATCACCAAACCCTTGCGAATATTACACTGCTCGCCTATTTTATTTTATTTAATATTAACGACTAGAAATATCAGTAGGGTCTTACATTGTATAGAATCGATATTTTCTTCATGTAAAATATTATATTGACATTCCTAGTTATCTCTAAACGCTGAGTCTATAATGGCTACGGGTTATACACTGCGTATAGGTTATCCCGTTCATGTGCATAAATTTAGACAGCTGATAGTAACCCGATAGTTCATAGTATAAAACTACACTCGATCAAGCTCAAGTTCATAATTTATCAAGATGTTCAAATATAGAAAAGACCAAACTGATATTTTGTTAACATCACGTGATATAAATTCGAAAAATCGTCCACGAGTTCATCGAGTCCAACTTCAACTTCATTCAAACCAGGAGAAGACAGAGGGATTACACGGAAGCTACGAAATAGTCTTACGGGGACATTTTGATACGACTGCAAAAGCCCCTTTTGGACGTACTATTGGTAGTTCGCATATACGAATAACCACAAGGCAGCAGAAGTCCTCAACAGATACCAAAATCAGAACAATAGACGCAAGAGCAATGTCAGAGCCGATCCCAGAATCCATTCCTACAAGCCATGATCCTCGCAGCAAACGCCCTGTCAAACGACGAGCCCTCACTCCCCTCTCAGAGCAAGCCAATGAAATAAAAACGCTCTTCAAAGACCCCTCAAAGGAGATCAGACTACCAGAGCCATCAAAACCAAAGACCCTTGCACCGCCCCCGGAGATAATCGCGAATGTCCAGGGATCCTCTGCTGGAGCAGGATCAGGGGAGTTCCACGTCTACAAGGCTAGCAGACGACGCGAATATGAGAGGATCAAGCTTATGGAGGAGGAGTTGAAGAAGGAGAAGGATGAGGAGGAGTTCAATAAGGCAAGGGAAGAAGCTAGGCGGAGGGATGAAGAGAAGACGGAGAGGAATAGGAGGAAGAGAGAGAAAAGGAAGAAAGGGAAGGGAAAGAAGGGGAAGAGTGGCGGGGAGGAGGGAGGGGATGATAATGCGGGTGATTTGGGAGTTGTTGATAATGGGGTTGCGAAGGGCAGTTCGACGGATCAGGGGATCAAGGCTGACGGGCATGAGAACGGCGAGGTTCCTGGTGTCATCATCCATGATGAGGATTGATTTATGGATATAGATGGCCAAAAAATGTAGTATACGAAGACAATATGATACCCGGCTAATTTCAGTGTAATTTTTGATACGGTTCATGCAATCAAATAGAATTATGCATGCGGCCAATTCATTTTTCTATCGCTTTTGATTTTTTTCCTTGTATTATGCCTTCATGATGACTTTATGTGCGAGGTTGACATACTATCCCCCAATCATGAAAAATAACCCAGGCCGCTTACTCCTCACCGCCTCCCATATTAGCAGCTTGGTTAAGGGATTTAGCACTACAGATGTCATCGACACGCAGGAGTAGGCATGCAGACTAAGATAATTAGTAACTTATGCCAGAGATGGAAAAGGGGGGAAGTATATTACCTCAATAGCGGTTTTGACGCTTTGTAGCTTTACAGCCTCAGGTTCCCAGACGCCGTACTCCTTCATGTCAACGAGCTTTCCGGTATCGCCGTCGATACCCCAGGTGTTGCGGCCTTCAACATGTTTGGCCCTCAAAGCAGTGAGGACCTGGATCGGGTTGGCACCGGCATTCTGGACCAGGGTTCGTGGTATGATCTCCATGGCATCGGCGACAGCCTTGTATGGCCATTGCTGGACGCCTTCAATAGACTTGGCTAGGTTGGCGAGTCTGACAGAGACCGCCATCTCGGTTGCACCTCCACCGGGGGATAGACGTGGGTGGTAAATAACATTCCTAGCCACAGACATGGCGTCTTGGAGGTTTCGTTCGACTTCGTTGAGAATGTCCTTGGACGGACCCCTAAGAATAATGCTACAGGCCTTCGGGTTCTTGCACTTTCTCAGGAAGGAGAAGTACTCATCGCCGATCTTTTCAATCTCAAAGAGACCGCACTGGGTTCCAACGTCGGATTCCTGTAAGTCATCGACACGGTTGACTATGGTAGCGCCGGTAGCGCGGGCGATACGGTTATTGTCCATCTTTCGGACACGTCTAAGAGCAGTAACGTTGTGTTTGACTAGGAAATGTTGTGCCAGATCTACTTGAAGTTAGCTATTAATCCAAGTATTAATCCACTTTATATGAGGAAGAGAATATCATACCAGAAACACCCTTTTCAGTGATGACTAAGTCAGGCTTAAGAGCGAGGATAGCATCACACATGCGCTTGACCTGCTCTTCTTCGATCTGTAAAATCTTATTCCAATCATCTTCCTTGCTGATTTCAATGTTGGTCTGCGATTCTCCCTTTTTATACTCCAGGGGACAATCAAGGAGAATAATTCTTGGGTTTTCTATCCGTCTTCGCATCTTGGGGTGGGTGATATCCTTATTGATGATGACACCGTCTATAACCTCACTGTCTTCGATCTGGCCGCCGGGAATCTTCTCAACACGCGCATATCGTTTAATATCCACTTCCTTCCTGCCGCTGCCGTTATCCAGAGATACGGTCCGTACCGCCTTCAGAGCTAGGCCGCACATGAGCTCTGACCAACGAGACACAAATTTGGTACCAATTGAAGACTGTATCAGGTTATACATGGCCTTGTCATCGTCCACCTCCACTGGCAGAGATATTTCCTCGATTATGGCAAGGGCGTCAGAAAGAGCTCGCTTGAAGGCAGAAATTATGATAACAGGGTGAATATTGCGTTCGAGCTGGGGAAGGGCATGCGCCAGAATTTCTCCGGCTAAGAGGGGGAACCGTTAGCACCAGATAAAGCTTGTAAGAGACCATCCTTAGCATGAAAATACCTAGTACGATAACAGTCGTGGTTCCATCACCAACTTCCTCGTCTTGTGTCCGGCTCAGCTCTATCATGCTCTTCGCGGCAGGGTGGGCGACCTCGATCTCTCGAAGAATTGCGTGCCCATCGTTGGTCAAGACAATGCCGCCCATGGGATCAAGTAGCATCTTAAGCATGGCTTTTGGGCCCAGACATGATCGGATAATATCAGCAACACTACAATGCATCTCCCCCCCTTTCTGTTTAGTCACCGTAACATATTGATAGAGGGGCTCGGAGGTCTCTCACGTTTTGGCAGCTGCGATATTTGACATCTGTGCCTTGCGGCCGACTTGTCTCCCTTCATTCTGGGTATCTTGAGTCTGGCATTAGTGAGGATACAAGCCAGATCGGCTGCTGAAGCCGTGGAGTTGTTGTACGTACTCATAACAACCACAGGAGCCTGCATTTTGGCGGCGGTGAAGCGAGGCCTCCTTCAAGTCGATTAATATAAGAATAAAGGGCGGAAGAGGTTCTATAGAGAAGTAAGACCGTAAATAGCTAAAGGGGGAGAAAGTAGCTCCTAAGCAGTACCTAAGAAGTTGTTCTGTTGGAGCTTTTCTCTCTTCATTATCAACTTTCATCTTTCGCTTTTTGCGTCTTCAAAGCTTCATGTGGGAGGGTTCCCGCCCTAGGCCGAAAGAAGACTAGCGTCGTGACTTCAAAAAACATCGAGAAAAGACAACATTCTATAGCAATTGACAACTACACCAGATACCCGCAAATACAATGCTAATAACATCAGCGTTGTTATCACACCCGCTGTAGGATGAACATGTTTTCAGTGAAGTCGTTAGACCCCTCCTCGTCAAGACCTATATTCTCCACCCTCCGCTCCACGATTCGCAAGCCTGCCGCCCCAATGGCTGCCTCGATAGCGGCCTCGGAAAACCACCGTAAGGTCTGTGTGATCCGGTAGCACTCGATTTCCTTTTTCTCGCCGTTATCCTGTTGCTCGAAGACCTGTGCATCCTGGTGGTAAATGATGTGGTTCCCCCGGCACTCGCTCTTCTTCATTTCACTATAATACTGAATCCTGCGGAACTGTGCACTCGGGACGTCTGTCGGTGGTGGTAAAACCTCATCATCCATCCGGGCTTTGAGGTCATCACCCGGCCTGATCAAGAACCAGTTGAAAAGAGATATGTACGCTCGCCCCGTGTCTGGGGTGAGCACCTTGCCGATCTGCTGGAATAACTGCTCTAGCTGCCCATCCTCCACCATGTGTACGATGCTGCTGAGCGGGAACAGGAGGAGGTCAACTGTGGCATGTTCGCCCGCTAACACCGGTAGCTCATCGAGTGCCAGCGCATCGCCCAACACCCAGGTGATGGGAGGAGATATCCCAATTGTCTTGGATTCTAACTTGGCTGCCAGATCTAGCATGTTCTGCACGTTATCTAGACCGATCATTTGCATGTTGCCGGTGTCGAATAATGCATTTGCGAGGCATTTCAAGACACCGAGTATCACGCGGCCGGAGCCAGTACCGAGCTCGAGGAAGGTGAATTGACGGTTCGAAGCTATCTCTCTGTGCTTGGACACCATATCCATGAGTTCCTTTGCATATAAATCGACATCTGTCATGTGAGGCCCGGCCCACTGAAGTTCGTAAAGCTCTGCCAGGTAAGGCGAACTATAGAAATTGGATGTCTCTATAACCATTTTTTTTGTAATAGGAATTGAAAATAGATAAGAGGTCGGGGTAGAGCCCTGAAATGGATACAAAGACCAAGAAAGCGGTTAAAAGTAGCAGTTGTATATATTTGACGGTGCTCTTATATTACACTTATATACTTCGTCTACGTGGAGCACCTACTATGTAGTCGCGTATAAGTTATGCGACAACACGAGCCGAATTAGAGGAACTATCAGTGTTAGTCCAGCCCAGGTTAAAATATTCTAAAGATGACACTGCATTGAAGCGAATCAGCCTGCAAATGAAAAGAAAGGGGGAACGGCAGGATCTACCATATAGCGATAAGCATGATGAAAAGGGCTCCACACGTGGAAGACGTTGCACCAGTTACGAATACATACAGTGTACATGTGTCAATATGGGCGTGCTCGGGCTGAAGAAGGATTGACCGCAAGTATGGAGTCGAGAGCTATGGCCTCACAGAAGAGAGGCTGTGCCAGGACTGGCTGCTGGCTGGTGTTGGCTGTGATAGACAATTGCTGCTTCGATAACTTTGCAGTCTTACTCTATTGAGGACTGATCGCCATAAAAAATCAAGGACTGAGATCGGTTGTAAAAGGTTGTCCACTCTCTTAAAGTCAAGTCTCATTAAAGTACTCCGTATAGTCGCTGCTTGTGCCATGCGAGCCCGCAAAGTACAGCAACCAGGTGATACAAAGCACGCCCTCACACCGGTGTCGCCAGAGGAGGGCTGCCACAAGAATGTGCAGGGCAGAAGCCTTGTATATTGGCTGTAAGGCTAGGAATGGTGAGACTACGCTTCAATGGCTTTGTAGTGATCTGAGGACAGGCTTCTAGGCCGCAAATATGTAGATAGAGGTCAAAAAGACAAAGGCTGTTCGTTCCTTAGCTATTAAACCTTGGAATACCAGAGGAGCGCTCGCGCAATGCAGAGCAGGAAGAAGGCTTGTATAAGGCATGTAATGAGCTTGAATAGCCAGGTAGTGATCGGATAACAGGCATCTAGGCCATGAATATGTACATAGTAGGTGCTGTTTCGAAAAGTACATAGTAAAGGTTGTTCGTTCGAAAAGGAAGCTTTAGCTTATATAGTATATCAAAGCACGTGACTAATAATGTAAAATCACGTGTTAATATATCACGTGTCACTTTGAAGGCATGTTTTTACTTCTGATGTCTGCTTTGGATGAGACCAGACACAGAAGGGCTATACCCTTGGCCTTATTCCATCGGAATATAGGGCCTGAGCCCATTACCCCCAGCGCGGCAATGCCACCCAAGTTAGCACCGGCAACTTGCCGTTTTGGCACTGCCGGCGCCCTTGGTACAGGCATCCATTTTTCAACCATTCTAACAGCACCCCCCAGGCCTCCTATTATCTTGTCCGTGTCAGCTACACGGCAGTATTAAGCGGAAGACAGGGCATACATACTCTCCCCTGGGGTACGCCCCCATTGCAATTATAACAATATTGTGTGTTTTCTATTAACAGCCTTGTTATTCGTACCGAATGGCCTCCCTTGGATAGGTCGGGAGGACACTGAGGGAGAATGGTCCATACTGACCATTCTCCCTATACCATCGAAGGCATCACCGTTCTTCTAGTTCTTTTTTTTAGTCCCCTAGGTTGGGGAACATTTGGTCCGGTAATATTTAGCCAAAGAAAAGTTAAAGAACGGCGACCCGGACCAACCACATCCCCCAAGCCAGCTAATATTTAGCCAAAGAAGGCTAACAGAGGGTGGTTTATACCCATCACCCTCCCCCAAGCCTAGCTAATATTTAGCTAAGGAGGGCTAAGGGGAGGAGGATATCATACCGGATGCCCTCTCTAGAGGGAGGACACGGGTTCCTGGGTATCTTTTATACCGAACTTCGATACCCTTTATGTTGAAAGGCTTATAATATCCTCTATTCCTGTTTGGAAGCAAACACGTTAGCCACTTCACCTGCTGCCTCCCTTACAGACGTGTTTCTTACCGTTTCTTTGCAATAAACTGCATAAAACAGAGGAGCATTCTTCCATAAGGGTGGTTATATATATATAATGAGGTGTATATATGTCTGGTGAGTGTATATATATATATATAGGAGAGAAGTTGTTCTTTTGAAAATTTTTTGTTGTTGAAACAGAAAGACAGAAAGAGATATCCCGCCTGGGGTAAGACGTCAAAACAAACTAATCCAAACATGGACTCTCGGCAACACAGTCTGTGAAGACCCAAAATGGAAGGTCTTTTGAAGGATAAAGAAGTCCCATCTTATCCTGCTAAGGACTGAAAAGCCTGACATCAATTGAGAGAGTGTGTCTATGTTGCTTATTTCTCTACCTTTCCACCCACTGAGACTGGCAGAGGAGAAAATGTTCCTACGCTATAGGGGGCTGCTGGTATCCTCCATTCTAGCCAATATTACTAACATTGGAGGTTCGTCTGATTAGGTTGACCAATGTAAGTATGTTCAGGAACCATGCCCCCAAAAATACACCTTGAACAACTCAGACTCTATCCACCTGGAAGCCCAGAGTTCATTTGACCTGTGGGACTCGAGTACTGACATCACAATCTACGTGATATTCATCTTCCTAGTGGGGTGATGCTTGATGACGGTAGATTAACAGCAGTGTGTGACTTGTCATGTTCACCAACCTAGCGAATTTTCGGGTGTTCTCCATAATCTTTATATTGGGATTTCTATACCTGCATATCATATTCTTGGGCCCCTGTAAATGTAGGACGGGACAATCGATAGCACCAAAGTTTTATATAAGTTAGTGAATAATAATCGTATCTCTGACTCTAAAATAGTTCACTGTTATGGAGAAGGAATGCTTCTTTCCATGCTTTGTACGTACATAGCAAGACTACACCTTACCTTGGGTCCACGGGTATAAATATGATTACATAAGCAGTGAATCCCGCGGCATAAAAAAATTCCTTTCCGTCGAAGTATTACATAAGCATATATTAAAGCAGCGACGAATATCAAAAAAGCCGCAAGCTACGAAGTCGCAGTTTGAAAACTTCCAACGACATGAGATAAAGCTAGAGCTGTGCAAATACATATGTTGGGAAAAGATGCTGCGACAATTGCCTCCAGGTCAATGGAACCAAACGGAGCGGCGGCTGACCCAGCAAGTCCTGTGGCAGCAGCCAAGTTGAACTTGATTTCAGAAAATGCTATTCAATCCGATAAAGGGCTCTTTGCACAGCTTTCAGACAATCCATTTTTCACTGCTGTAAGTGCTGTAGAGGTCAGATCTGAGATGGCATTGTTATGCTGACCTTTCCTCTTGTCCAATTGATAGGGATTTGGCTTAGCGGGTTTAGGAGCCGGCCTCACCCTTGCGCAGCGTGGAATTCGACATGGAGCCATACTCCTGCGCAGACGGATGCTAGTTGACGTCGAGATTAGTATAAAGGATGACTCTTATCCATGGTTTCTGAACTGGATGACGCTCTACCAACGCTCACAGCTTACGAACCAAACCGCCCGCGGGCAGGCCCAGACAAGTTTTATGAACTCTCTGTTAAACAGGATTACACCCGGCATGCGTCACTTGTCCATACAAACCGAGAAAGTCGAACACGCCAATGGAGCGATTCATACGCATTTCGCTCTCATACCGGGGCCCGGAAAGCATATACTCCGCTATAAGAACGCTTTTATATTCGTGAATCGCGTCCGTGAAGCCAAATCACGCGACCTGCAGACTGGACGGCCATGGGAGACAGTGACGCTTACCACGCTATATTCACAAAGGCACATCTTTGAGGATTTATTCAAGGAGGCACACGAGTACGCGGTGAAGACGCATGAGGGGAAAACGGTCATTTACAATTCTTGGGGAGCAGAGTGGCGTCCGTTTGGTCATCCTCGGCGGAAGAGGCCATTGGACTCCGTCATCTTGGATGCTGGGGTGAAAGAGAGGATTGTGGCCGATGTAAAGGACTTCTTCTCAAGTGGAGCATGGTACCATGACCGCGGCATCCCTTACAGGCGTGGCTACCTCCTCCATGGCCCTCCGGGTACCGGCAAGAGCTCCTTTATCCAAGCGCTTGCCGGCGAATTAGACTACGACATCGCCGTTCTCAACCTTAGCGAGAGAGGGCTGACGGATGACCGGTTGAATCACCTGCTCACCATAATCCCAGCACGTACTCTGGTACTATTGGAGGATGTGGATGCTGCCTTTAGCTCACGGCGCGTACAGTCTGATGAGGATGGATACCGGGGTGCGAACGTCACCTTCTCCGGCCTGCTCAATGCACTCGACGGCGTTGCGAGTGCGGAGGAGCGCATAATCTTCCTCACCACCAACCATGTCGACAAGCTTGATGAAGCTCTAGTGCGGCCCGGCCGAGTGGACATGACCGTTCGTCTTGGCGAAGCCACTCGATACCAGGTGTCTCAGCTCTGGGATAGATTCTACGGAGAGCTCGACCAGTCTAGCGTGTATAAGAAGGTATTTCTCGACCGGTTAACGGAGCTCGGTATAGTCGAAGACGAAGATGGCCAGAAGCGTGACCGCGCTATGGCAACTAGCGCCGCCGCCCTTCAAGGCCTGTTTTTGTATAACAAGGGAAACATGGACGGTGCCATCTCGATGATAGAAGGCCTGGTTAACCGTGATGCCGCATAGAAGTTCTCCCCCTTCACGTGTACCATAGAACTAGAATACATGTACTTCCGTACAACCCTTGTGACACACCTCCGCACCGCATGAAAAACCCAAGGGACCTACGGGCGGCTACGCGTCGATATTCTCCTCCAACCAACCCCCAGCCATCAGCCCTGAAGAAAACAACCCTGGGCCAATATGTGTACTATGAATGGTTTCTCTGCAACCGCCCCTTATCACGTGATCAACTTAAAAATGTTTAATGCCGTTTGTGGGTCTTTTCTTCGAAGCCTCAATATCAAAAAGAAAAAAACATCCGACCGCATGTCTCAATCAGCATAGGCTCTCTTGTGCGCTGAGATACTATTATTACATCTACAATAAGCAATAAGCAGACTCGAAGGGTCTCGCTGTTCCATCGAGGGCTACACTAGTCCTTCTAGTGCCCTCTCAGCACCGCATTGGTCGCGCCGATCTCCTGTCCTCTCCAAGCGCCTGGTTCGTGACGGGGATGCAGGGGGCCTCGCCAATAGATGGACTGGTCACATCTTCTGCACCATGGCCTGCCAATAGGTACAGCGGCTACCCATTCCTTCCCTGTATGGAGCAAATCGGAAGAAGCCAATCTTGAATAACCCAGCACGAATCTGGAATGGCTTCATGCACGGTGATTCAGCCGATCCAAAAAGTTGTCCCCAAAAAACCTCCTCGTTAGCAAATGCGGAGGCCCATTCAGTCCATTCAGACACTTGATGTGTGGCGTGGAGAGAAAAGGGAATTATTCATGGTGTGGGTGCTAAAAAACTTCAGCGGTAAATTGTTGCACCGCCTGCGCTGATCATCCTAGTTGGCCATATCCCGTCAACCAGGGAGGCTGTGGTCGTTTTTGTGCTCTGTACGATAGATAATATGTGATCCGCCGTTTTCACAATGCGGGGACCTACTTTTTCTTCCTCTACTCTTTATCTCTGAAAGGAGAGAAGCTGCTTTGTCTCCCCGGTTTCCTTCTGTCTTCCCCTTTCGTTCCCGGTTTCTTTTGCTCACCGAAAATCCTGAATCCGCTTCGTGCATCGCATATCCAGCAGACATACCTGGATTCTTGACGTTGGCCTGACCGTCCTTTGTACGCATTAAAATGTCTGATTTCCCACAGGGACAATTCCAATTGTTTCCAGCAATGCAGACTTCGAGTAAAACAGGGCACAGTAGCGGTAATGCTGCTATGCGTACACACCGCCCCAGAAGAACCAAATCTCCTCGAATGGCACCGGTTCTAGAAGACACAAAAGTGGGCGGTCAGACTGAGGCTGTGATCTTGCGGATAATCGAAGATACAAATACTATTATACCATCTCAAACTACACATATTGAGTCACACTTTCCGAATAACACGCCTTCTCGAGAGGATAAAATTTTTGTCTTTCCACAGCCTCAGAGGAGAGTGTCTCCGTCGCCTTCAACAATGTCGACATCAACCATGTCAAGATCGCCGGAAGGCCAGTCACCAATCTCGCGGCACAATGGAAATGGGAATTCCCAACATAAATTTGCTGTCTTTCCTCCTCCAAGGTCGTCTACCCCGAACAGGTCCAAGTCTACGGCATCATCGTCACGTAAAAAGGCCAAGACAGTCAATTCTACCAACTCACAGAGTGACTCTCCAGTATGGTCATCCTCTTCGCCTTCTGAGAGCGAACTGCGCGAAACAGCTAACTCACGGGGGCGGGATGCTCCATCCTTTCCTCCGCCACCGCCTCCTCCAATGAGATCTATATTTCCTCGATATAACCATGGCCTGCCTTTAAACCAACAAAAATATTATGCCAATGCAGGGTCACCTAGGAGTAGCTCGGATCAAGCACCATCACGAGTAGATTATGGGTCTCTTTCTCCTCCAGCACACTCTTGTGCTGGCTCGTCATTATCGTCCCACGATGGTGTTGTTATTGCTGCAGTGGAAGCTCTGGAAAAGTTATGGGGTGCTACTTGTGGTGAGAACTCTGGATTTGATACCAACACATTTCATATGAATATCAGAAGGTAAGCATTAAATCCATAGCCCTGAAATTTTTTGTCTATTATCTTTTTTCAGCTAATACTCGGTTAGAATGGATTCATTTACGTATAACATCGGCGCCGGTTCTGTGCCTTTCTACACACTCAAGACCGACACAATTAGTGATTTTGAACTACATAAAACGCATCCAACCAAACCAAATACCAAATCACCGATCGTAACGCTCAGCCTTGATCATATCCAAAACCGTACTAGCGCTACAATTTCGATATTTCCAAAGCTTGCAGAGATTTTAGCAAGAGAACAGTCATTAGAACGAGCAAGGCAAAATCAATTATCGCCTGCACAAGCCATGGAAGTCGAAAATGATGCAGTGAGCCAAATAAGGGCGAAAGAAACGTGTCTTTTCGAGTGGCAGGATGCCCAAACCCGGTATAAGCTACATTACCAGGCTATGATGAGTTCCTCTCCACATACTCCTGGAAGTAGCCCCCTGTCAACTCGGTCGAGTGCGCCCATAGGTTTAATCAACGCATCAGTATCGAACTCGCTGCCTTCCTACGGAGGACCATCATATGGCCCCACGATTCTTCTATCTGCCCCTAGCGACGGGTCATCATCAAGGAATACCGACACACCATTGGTAGCTGTAGACTTGGAACACATGACACTTACCATCTTTGCAAACGACATTCTCTCTACAGTACCGTCCTTGCACAGCATCGATACACTAGTTGCTGCCATCCTTACCGTAACTATTTCAAACGAAACTACCAAACAAGTCCTTGAAAACATCGATATCTACGCTCCGAAACCCGAAGAGTTCCCCGACCCATATCGACCACCAACTCCAAACCCGGCCACTATCCTTGCGAACCACAACATTACCAACAGCAATGACAATGTCAGTGCCAGTGCCAATGCCCAAAACAAGCGTTCCGCTCCCGGAGAAGAATCTCGCTATTTCACACCAACGGGAAAACAAATATTCACCACCCAAGCTGAACGCGAAGAGTTCGAACAGGAGGCAGAACTAATGTCTCAGATCAAACAAAAAGGGAAGAAGGCGAAGAGAAACCCGTCAAAATCATCCTTCACCTCGTCATGGACATGGCCTTGGAAGAGGGAACCTGAAGTCGAAGAAATAGACCTGGAAGCTGGTATTGGTAGAACCCCCAAGGCAGCAGCTGTAAAGCAGCAGGGGGAAACGGAAGGGACTCCAACAACCAAGCAGAAGAAGAAGAATCCCGCCCTTGTGGTTGAAGGGATTGATGTTGAGCGCTATGGACGCTATGCGGATGGTACGCCGCGTGCAGGGGAGAAATTACCAGGGCCAACCCGCGCTGCGCTGCGGGCGTTATTCTGGGTTTTCTCTCTGGTAATGTGGTGTCTTACTGCGTGTGTGAAGGCCCTGGCCTGGATGCTTGTTAGCCTCTCACAGTGCGGAAGTAGCAAAAAGGGTTGATATTTTTCGTTTCTTTTCAGTTATATAGACGAGTTATAGAATAACGCGATACGATTTACGGAACTTTCCATATATTCCAAGTATCAAAGTAATATTTTCAAGTTCTAACCGTACATTACACTAGGATAGAGTGATGTGGGTTGTATATTCTTTTCTATTTGCTTATACCCGAGAGGCTTGGTGCAGGTCTATAGGTACAATGTAGTTTATGTACGTGCGTTGTAGGTAGAGTAGGTACCTAGGTCAGTAGCTCGGTAGAGCGCTATGTAAGACATAAAAGAGATAGAATGGCTAAGGCTGGTTGATGTATGCGAAAAGCAAAGAGAAAAAAACGCCGGTACCATGATGATCATCAAGAAAGGATATGCATATGCAAAAAAAAGAGGGTATGATTTAATCCAGGGCTAGCAAAAGAAGTAAAAAAAAAGAATCCCGAACGATGGTGAGAACGTTGATAGTTCGATGTTATTGTTTAAAGCTCTTGAAGCTCCTCCAGGCACTGGGTGAAGGGGTGTTTGCTCCCGTGCTCGGCCGCCCGTTAGGGTCGGTCTTGAATTTCTTTGGTCCAGCCAAATGAGATAATCGGTCTTTTCCCTCTCGGATAGCGGTTCGTCTTGCCTGGCGCAGGTTCTCCACACGGGCTTGTGACAGCTTAAAACGGCGTGCGAAACAATCCATCATCAGCTCGTTGGGGTCGATCATCCGTTTAGGCGCCGTCTGCACTACCTGGAAGATCTCCATGGGATCGCCGAGGGACACGATCTGTTTCTGGTTCATGCGAAAGATGGATAACGCGACGCGGAAAAAGGTACGGGAGCCTTCGTAGAATAACACGTCCCAGACGCGTAGGGTAGTTTCGAAGGGCAAGGTGCTAATGAACATGGACATTAGCCAGTTTGTGAGGCCGAGAGTGATATCTGGAAGGCGAGTAGAGGTGTTTAAGCCTGGAGGTTTCGTTTTGGAGGTTGTAGGTACGGTGCTGACGACTTTTGTATAGACAGATGGTAGGGCTTCCTTGAGGGCGACCATTAGGATCCAGAGGTCTGCGTTGGCTCCCTCGAGGCTGATCTCGTGAGTGCCCGGGAAGAAGGTGGAAGTGATGATGTGGAGGAGCCAGAAGGCCTTTTCCTCGGGCAGGAAGAGGATGAGGAATCCGGCTATAAAGTTGAGCGACTGAGTATATCCGATATTAGAATTATGTAGGGAAAATGCATATAATACACGACGAAGAGATTGAATGATGGGGGTGTCGGGGGAGGCAGAGTTGTATTTGAGATTGCTGCTACCGCTGGAAAGGTCTTCGGCCGAATCAGGCTTGTAGTGGATGTTGTCTGGGAACGTTCGATGGAGATCCCGCTCAATGTGTTCCTTGTCGTCGTTCATCGGGCTTCGAAGGGCAGTCTCTACAAGACGTTTGTAGAGGCCCGGGTTTCGACGTATATAGTCGTATCCGCCGGCATACCAGAACCACGCCGCTCCACGGCACTCTGGCGGTATGCCCTTCCTGATGTATTTCTTGAGTTTGGCGGACCGGATGGGAAAGGTGGTAGGAACTGCTTCGTCGATGCCGCTCGATCTCAGCAGCGCATACCATTTCTCGCTCCTTACTTTCTGATATTCAGAGTACGATTCATACCAGGAGTCGTACTGCTCGATGGTCACGTGCGTGGTAGCTTTCCTGAATCCATACTGGTCTCGCGTCTTTGTCGGCGCCAACAGAGGCGGTGGATCAGAATGTGTCGATGTTTCGATGATGATGGGCGGAGGCGAGAGAGACGAGGGCGGAGGCGATGGGAGCGCCGTGAGCTG